GTACAGCAGGAATTCTGGGAGTTGAAGTCCACCCATCTTAAAGTTGCCAAGGTTGAGAAACACTGATCTAACTGATCAAGGTCCAGAACTCTGGCAAGCTTTCCCTTGTATCTTTTTCTTCATCTGTGTACCTCTCCCATACACATCCAACTTGCCCACATGACCATCTTACGGGAGAAAAAAAGCTTCTGAAGTGGGGTCAGTCTCCTGTCTCCATCACTTCACGGGCAGCGGTCACCCAGTCCACAATTCTGAAAGACTTTGTCAGCACAAATTAAAGCCGGGCACCTACTTTACCTTGTGTATATGTAAATTCCTTAATAAAATACTGCAGTGAAACTATCACCTTGTTTGTCCTCGTATGAAATGCTTGTGTTAAAAAAACGGAGATCATTTTTTATTGAAACGTTTACAGTGAACGCCATGGGACTAATCCAGCCTGTTTGCAATTCTGAATCTCTGCCTGCTAGATTTATCTGCTGGATAAGACTTAGTTGTAAGATGCAAAGATGTGGCACCCACCATCACCACCCTATGCTAGGAATCCCTTTGCTACTATAGAAAATCAGAGGATTCAGCCCTGGAGCACAAGGAAATCCCATTGTGTGAGATTTTTCCGTGATAAACTGGGATAATCTTCTACAACAGTGGTGTCTCCTGGGTTAAAGGGATGATGATAATTTATTAAACATGTATGCCACCTAACTTTCAATGACTCTGGAATTATAGAAAAGTAGAAAATCCCAGAATGGGGCACTTAATTATGAAGATTATAGAGGCACGTGAATCACGTTTATTTGCCTTGTTGAAAACCGCAGGCATAGGTCTTAGACCGTACAGAAGAGGAATTGTTACGCTAAAGGTTGGCAATGCTGCTTTTTCGTTTTTATGCTCTCCCCATCGTTTCCCAGGTTTTGTTTCATGTCAATTAAGTGTATTAAAGCTGTTTCTTACATTGTTCTTACATTCTGATTATATATTTTCCAGTTCATATCTTACTGGCATGCCTAAACACCATTTTTTTCCCCACAAAACTCCACTAACCTCTCTTGCATTATTGTGTTTACTCAATTTTTCTTGCAATTCCAGGTTCATTCTTCTCTCTACGCTTTCACATTCCAAATACTGATTAGTATTATTATGTGTTTTTGTTTTAAATGTTCTAGAAAATTGTTCAGTGTCATCTTCCATTGAGTCTATAGTAGCTGCACACACTCGATTGTTTCCTGGATATCCCATCATTCTAATAGGGACAATCCTGTTTATTTTGCCACAGCTGAGCACACACTTGGCAGTATCCCTTTTGAATATTATTCAATATTTCCCTTCATTATTATATTAAATTAAATAATATTAAAATATTATTCAATATTTCCCTTCATTTCCTTCAAATGGACTCATGATGTAATCATTTAAAGTAGCCCATTCTGGCCCACGTACATTTATTCATTCTTAAGACATCCAGTTTGGTACACTTCATTTCTACCATGACAGTTCCAGCTTTTCCTTGACTCATGCTTCTCACACTCCTCTTCCAAGTGCAAAACAAGGAACTTCTCAGTAATGGCACCATCAATTATCGGACTGCTACAGCTTTAAGCTTGCCATGTCACCACAGTCTGGTCTATTTATCAAAGTAGTATGTTCTTCCATAGTAATTGGAGTACCTTTCAAACTGGGGGTCTCACTGCTGAAGTCTAAATGTTTAGAAAGAAGTGGTTTGGCAGTGCCTTCTGGATGTGATTTTGCAGTTCCTTCTAAGTGAGCTGGTTTCCCTGATACCTACATAGGTCCACCTGCCTCCACCACCCCCTTTGACCTCACCAGCAAGAAGGGTGTACCACGAATTCATCCAACAGCAACCCTCTCAGGATCATTTTTTCCCATATACTCAGGTGACCCCCATTGTTTCAGAAGTTGCATTGGTTGCCAGTTGGCTTCCAGGGGTGATTCAAGATGCTGGTTGTCAGTTCTAAGGCCCCATGTGGCTCCAGACACAGTTACATGAGGGACTGCCTTCTGGATTTATCTGCCCATCCAACCAGATCAAACAGGCTCAAATCCCTTCAGGTCCTCTGTCTTTGAGATTGCAGTTGATGTGGCTTTCAGAGCAGATGCCCCCTCTCTTTGGAACTTTCTCCCAGGAGACATCTGGTCAGCTTCATCCCTCTTGGGCTACAGGAAAATGGTGAAACCCTACTTGTTCTATCTTGCACAGGAGGAGGGTGTGTTATAATTGAAGGTGGGGTTTCTGGGTGCGTGGCATTTCTACGGTTGGTTTTTACCTTTTTTTGATTTCGTCATATTTTTATATGTACTTTGGGTCTTGGGTATGTTGACATGGTTAGCCACTCAGTGTCTCTGGGAATGGGTGGCATGCAAGGACAGAAAAATAAACTGATTGAACATGCACACAAACACACCAACCAAAGCAGTAGTCCTACAGGGATCTTATTAATCTAGCCCAAAGTGATAAGCTCCCTATAGTAGTATTCTGTGGTTATATAACTGGGACTTTATTTTCACTTCGTTTCAAAAGCAATTAAAAATACAAAGTACCCAGTGGGACATCAGGTGCAGATACAGCTTTGTGAGAAGCACAGCTATCACTGAAAAGTAAGTTAAAATTTCTGGGTCTTGCAGCTGCAGCAAATCCATAGAGAAGATCTCTTGACGTTTCAGAGCTTCAACACTTTTGGTGGTTAGAGAAGGAACCTGAATGCCCTGTATAAATCATTTACCTCCCTGTGTTATGAGGAACGATGCAAACAAGATACAGACCTATCAAAATCAAGTTTCAGTTCATGCAACGGAAACTCAGCCGCAGTACGTGTTTCTGTTGCGTGTGTGTCCATGAAACATCGCTGATGAAAAACTGGTAACAGTGACACTTACCTGAACACAATCAAAACAATTTTCAAAACTGGCTTTAATTATCTTTACTTGCTGTCCAAATACTGTACATGCAGTTAACAAGCCAAATGGAGAAACATTAGCTTTTTTTTTTTTTTTGGAAAATCCATCTTGTCTCCTTTGGAAAGAGGGGAAAAAAATCTTGTCAAGAATAATTTACAAAATTGAGCGTGCACCCTCAGAGCTGTCAGTCCTGCTGCATATATAAATCCACAGAAAAATACAAGAGTTTTACATTTAGGAAAGACCACATCACATAGAAAACGTTACAGAGCACAGGTATAAAATTGTCGTGTGTGTGTGTGTGTGTTTCTTGGTCCGTTAGTAACTCTTCTTTCCACTGCCCACTGTACCATCCCCTTGTGCTCAATGTGACTGGAGGATTTGGAACTCTTAATCTGACCCTCATGCATACTTCTCTGTTTAAAACCAAGGCCATGTTATAGTCTTGGGAGCCAAGCAAGAAAGCAGGCTAACATAATCATTGGCTGACTTGGGAAACTTTGATTTGATCCTTCAAACAAAAACCCAGTTTAGAAACCTTAGCGATGCTATCATCAAGCTTCCTGTAACACCCAACTGCTGTCCTGCAATTACTCTTTTCCTTAGGTTGCTCCACTCCTTGCCATCTTCTTCTGTCGCTTCAACCATCTCTGGCCAGAAGTATCAACTCCTGGCTTCATGAGGAAGGTGGCAGGCTTTTGGAGTTGCTTCTGCGTGGCAAGATCCCTGATTACTCTGTTCACACAGGGCAACGTAGAGACTATCAGTTTAGTTAGAAATTACTTCTAAATAAAGTTGGGCCAGGTGAATAGTATGTTTAGCCCCCCAGTTACTAGAATGGGCCTTGAAGATAAACTAGCAGCTAAGGTCAAAAGCTGCTTCAACCACCTAGAGTGGGGTCATCTACCTTGGCTGAAGAAACCATAACAAATGTGTCTTTGCTGTCTCAGGAAATCTCCTTCTGACAAAAAGCAGAGAAGCCTTCATACCTTTCTTAAATTTTAGTTCTGGCACTCAGAAATGTTCTACAGTACATGGTTTCCTTTCCACCGTCCTTTCAGAAGCTTCTTGTGCTATGGTTTCAAGAAGTGGTATGTATTCAGCTGCTTTTCCCAAGCATGTTCCTTCATTGGTGTGGCTTCATTTACATTTTAAAAATTATTGTATGACCTGATTTGAATTCTGTATCATTTGTGGCCTTCTGTTCTGAAAGGCTGCTATCAAGCTGTATTTTCAATATGTCAATGAAAACATTCCCTTTCGGCCAATAATAGCTGAACCATTTGATTTCTCCCTTCAGGTAAATCTCTTTAAAACAAAACAACGAATTTAGTTTCCAGATCAAGTTTAAATTATTTCTGCTTCATATCAATATTTTCATTTTATTCTATAAAGCTTTTTCTTGCTGCCTCATGTTTTTAGGATAAAGCCTAGATATAAATTACCCCAATAAATAAATACAAATACATCTTAAGCCATTACTGAACTCCAGATCCAGAATGGCTCCAGGCCAAACAAAATTCAGAGGTAGCTTTGCCTCCAGTTTCTGGTGACCATCTCTGGGGATTAATTTCACAATGTCACAGTGAACGAGAAGCTGTTTTGTTCAATATTCTTTTGTGGGAGAGGGGGGCATTGGAAGAACTAATTGATGGGGAGCAGAAAGTTATCAGTTGTTAACATGAAAACATATAAGCCCTTATATTTTAAAAAGAAAACACCAACAAGGCCACCAACATCAAAAGTGCTACAATCCAGAGGTGTTTGCTATCAAATGAGCCAGATATTCCAACTCAAGACAGCCTATTGCACCCACACTCAGAGCAAACAAGTACTCTGGCATCAGAAAAGCATTGCTTTAACATCTTTACTACAATAACAAATAACAGATCCTTCATTCCAGCAGTAACTGGAATGGTTAGTCCAATCTTCCCCAAACTTGCCTCCTCAGATGGGTGTCTTAGGACTGGAATTCCCAACCAGCATGATTGACAGAATCCCAGCACATCCCGAGAGCTTCAAACAGAG